CTGTCCCTCAGCTCACAGCCCCTAGCAGGGTTTTCAGCACAGCACCATTCGACCTTTGCCCTTTACATTGTCTGGCATTACATTCAAGGCCTGTTCAGGGCTGGATTCAGGCATATGCAAATTAGGCATCTGGAGATTAGCCCGATTAGCAAAAAGAGGCCCAGACGAAGACATTCACATATACAATGTATAAATACAAACAATTGTATGGAATTAAATTAAATTAAAGAAATAAAGCCATATACATCAAATTAAAATGTTTATGTGCAGGCAAAATCATGGCCAGCTCTATCTAACAGAGAGCTGAATAGGACCCAAATTGCCTGAAATGGGGCCCAAGTAAAGCTTTGCCCAATAGGTGCCCTGAGCTGCCTGGGATGGGCACCAGGCCCCCATGACCCTGGACTGCATATGATGGATGGAAAGATGGATGGAAAGATGGATGGATGTCTGTAATCTGGCTTTTTAAAACTTTTTACTGGAATTTGTGTTTGTTTGTTTTTCTTCTTTTTTTTCCTGCAGATATTTTGGTTTTCATCTGACATGTTCCCAAGAGGATGATGAACTAGAGAAACACGCAGCATACAAACGGTTAATGGGACACAAGTTCCAATCCCATCACTGTAGGTTCGGAAAACACACACAGAAACAGACAGACATAGACATACACCAAGACACACCTGCTTTTTCAAAATAAATGGGTAAAAACGTCACTTATTTAACATACATGAAACTGCCTGTACAGCTGACAGCAGAGGTTTGTTGGTCAGACCTCCTGTTTGCTGTCGCTCATGGGAGTTTTACTTTATGGGACTTATACAAAAAATGTCCTGAGTGGAGAATGAAAAATTATTGGTTCAGCAAGATAACCAATTAGACTGCGGAGGAGGTGGGACCAAGACATCTGATTGGTTGGTCCTGCCTCCTCTACTTCCTTGAACCCACCTTCTCTACAATCTGATTGATTAGCTTTCTGAACCAATCATTTTTTGTTCTGCCCTCAGAACATTATTGTGTAAGTAAAACTCCCACGAGCTTTGCTGTCACCAAACACCCACTGTCTGTTCTAATTCTGTTTCAGAAAAAAAACGTGGGCTACTTCAGGCGAATCGTAAGTCCCTCTTTAAAACAGGACGGGGTGGGGTGGGGGGGTCAAACGTCCCCATATGTAATAGCGGCATTATGATGAATCCCGGACCCTGGATGTAACCTGTCCGTCCTCAGTGTTCTCCGCTTTCTCTATTCTGTAGATCATCTTCAGCTCACAGTACCTCATGAGGCCCAGGGTCAAATCATCCGTCTCCCTCTCAGCGTGAGTCCCCTAGAAAGGCTGCTGGATAAAGGCTCCTGCATTTCCCTCTAATTTCACTTTGTATGGTCCTGCAGCATTGACCAAGATGGGCTTCTGGAAGATGGATGAATATTTTTGTACTTTAACATAGTATGATTTCTTATAATCATATGAGATGAATAGGCTTGTAGGCCTATAATATGTATTTCTCAAAGTTATAATTTGCAGACCGTGCAGAACATGCAACAACGTTTCCCATTAGAAATCAAATGTGTAGTTAATAAGCTACTTAAGTTCTACCCGTCAGTCATGTTACAGTGTTTTTCCTAGACGGTCCACAGCTCCCAGCTAATGAAGAACACCGAATACCTGGTTCAAGTGTGATGTAAGCTAGCAGTGTCTCTGTGGACAGGGTTGAAACACCAGTGGAAAATATTTCCCATGACCTTTTTTTGGTGTCTCCAATGGCCATGACAGCATGGTGAGGTTCTCAGGCATATACAAGAACCACGACCCGTTCCTGGCACCCGGTCTCCCTAGCAACCCTTGGTTGACTGATGACATCACCTACTGGGAGCACAACCTGCCGCGGTAAACTGCTCATGGGCGTTTTACTTACACAAAAATATTCTGAGGGCAAAATGAAAAATGCATTGATAGATATCCAAGCAACTAGAGGAGGCGGGACCAAGACATCTTATTGTAGCAGAGATGGGTCCAACCAATCTGATTGGTTATCTCTCTCAACCAATCATTTTTCACTCTGCCCTCAGAACATTTTTGTGTAAGTAAACTCCCATGAGGCGATTACTATACTGAACATATGTAGTGTTTATTATATGTGTACAGAAATATATACCCGTGTGCTCCTCAGAGTGGAGGTCCCCACGAGCATGAGAGTGGAACGCTGGACGTTCAGCTTCATGGATCTGCTGAGCGACCCCTGTGGCCGCGCCGACTTCCGGCTCTTCCTCAAGAAGGAGTTCAGCGGTACGGGGGTAGGGCTCCTGAGAGCAGAGGGGGGGACCGAAATGCCGAAGTGCGCACCTTTGATGTTCGGGGTGCTTTTCCGGCCCCTAGGGGAAAACCTGGCATTCTGGGAAGCCTGCGAGGACCTGAAGTGGGGTTCGGCGAAGGCCATGAGGGAGAAAGCGGAGCATATTTACAAGTGAGCCAGGAGGTCGAGGCTCCGAGGGGAAACTCATGGGAAGTTTGACTCTCTCTCATTCAGCTATTAGGTCCAGGAGACTCCATGTCACTACATTTCACACCTTCCAATGGCCTGTATTCATTTGCATATGCTAATAAATACGCATCAATGTGTTTTATTTGCATATACGGGCCTGATTTGCATATACGGGCCTGATTTGCATATACGGGCCTGATTTGCATATACGGGTCCCTTGTACAGCACCTTCCTGGCGCCGGGGGCTCCGCGCTGGATCAACATTGACGGCAGGACGATGGACGTGACTGTGAGGGGGCTGCTGCACCCCCATCGCTACGTGCTGGATGCGGCGCAGACACACATCTTCTTGCTCATGAAGAAGGTGAGGCGCTCACCCGCACACAAGGGGGCGCCGTCGTCCACTAGCCGTTGCTGCCACGGTAACTGGCGCCGCCTGGTTCACAGGACACATTCGGGCGATACATGAAGTCTCCCGTTTTCAAGGAAACGCAGAAGAGGGCCTTTTCCCCAGAAGAGCACAAGTTCACGTAAGACTCCGAGCTTTAATTATACCATTAATTCTCACTGATTCCTCAATCCGACCTGTTTATACAGTCTGATATGAATAAATTTGGCAAAAGGGCCAACAGCGGAATAGGGTGTTTATCAATATGCATCGATACACTTGACTGTTCTTGTGTTCTCGCGCCCATTTAATGTTGTCTTCCATTCTAAGACCAGTTCCAATGGTCTGGTAAAAATTCCCAGATGTCAATCTTGCCCAGTCCCAAAATCAAGGATGCATCGGTTCCATCCTCTTTAATGAAAACAATCCCGTGATTCATTGCACCAATGACAGCCAATTTAGCAAGAACGCTCATGCCAAGATCACAAATATGTTCTCTGCGTTCTTGGTGTTGATAAAACACCCCAGGTCTGGTTTAGGCGTCAGATCTGCCAGCAGCAGCCTGAAGGTCATAAAACACAGACAGAGCATCAGGGCAACGTCTTCCCTACGCGTCCCTCCCACAGGAAGGCGCAGCTGGACCAGAATGCTAGAAACCGCAAGCCGGGCATCCACCCTATCATCCTGCACCAACGGGCTCAGGAGGAGAAGGCCAAGCTGGCCGCCAGTGGGCCAGTGGACATCAAGCAGGTCATGAGCAAGCTGGACCGCCGCAACAACCTCAAGAACTGACCAATGACACGCACCCAGCGCCCGGAGGGGGCGGAGTCAGACCCAGCCACACGAGGGTGTTTGTGGGAAATTAGGCTGCATTTCAGGAGAATAGAGAAGTTATAGTGTCGGCTTCTACTGTCATTTATGGATACAAATGTATAACATGCAGATGTGTTGTCACATTATTACTGGAACAAATGTGTTTTTATCCAAAGCAACTTGTATCCACTTACAAAGCTTGATTGTGTCTTGGTACAACTCAGATTAACTCAGATCGCTCCAGGGATCACTTGGCTGGGATTTAAAGGGGCATAAGTGGATTTGCGGGGTTATTAGAAAAAAAATACCAGTCATGAATAATTATACAAGTTAGAATGATAAACAGCAGAGATCAGCACAAATCGATATTATGATGTAAACATATGTAGTGTTTGTGTTGCTCTGCAGCGTGCCGCTTCAGGCTATAAAGACTTATGAGATTACTGAATTTGTTTGTGCTATATTCCTTGTCCAGTCTTGACAAAGGAAAGGAAAGTACCAGAAAGGGCGGCGTTCCCGTCATCGTGTGCAGAACGGCCTGCAGAAGCCTCGTATCGTCTCCTTGCGGAGATAGACCCCTCTCAGCAGTTACGAAGGAATCCATCTCTAGAAGCAGTTTTCAAATAAATATTATACAAGTGAAATAATTGGGCATTAAGTACACAACTCTGACAGCGAAGATGTGTCCAACATCAGAGGCGGACATTTCAGGTCCAGAAAGTCAAAATCCAAACCAGGATTTTGTTTCAACCAACCAGTTGAGCATAAAGAGTCACAGTCACAAAGTACTCAACTGGGTGGCTGAAACAAAATCCTGGTTTGGATTTTTACTTTCTGGACCTGAAATGTCTGCCGCTGTCCAATGTTAACTGCAGTAACCTGGGGGTTAAGGACCTTGCCCCAATGCCAAAATCACTTTGGCAACCTTGGGATTTGAAACAATGACCTTTCAGTCATAGACACAATGCCCAACCCACAGAGCTAATTAAAAGGCACAGGCTAATATTTTAAAGAGGAGTTTGGGCTCCTCTGGGTTTACGTCACCAGTGCCACAGCGGTCAAATGATGGTCGGTTCCGAGTGCCTGCTGGTAGGGAGACCGAGCTGACTGGGAGGCCACTTCCTGCCGCATGTCAGACTCACCTTCCTGTGTCATGAAGCCGTGTCTTTGTGTCTGTGTGTGCGGCTGTATGTGAGTGTGACTCTCAGGTAACACATTCCAAGAAATGTCAAGCGGGTTTTCATTTCTGGGTAATGTTGTTTATATTTCACCCGCTCGCGTTGCCATGGAAAAAACAAACAAGTCATTGAAATGGCTACGAATCCTGATCTGGGATTATGTTCGTTTTAATGACAGGAATGAGGTCAAGGAGTTGTGTGTGTGGGAGTGGAACGTCCAGACCGAGGGTAAGAAATCACATACTTGGATTTAAAATAAAACCAAAAGCTTCAATTGTGTAATGTCTTGTGATATATTCACACAGCTGTATCTTACAAAGCCTTTGTACACTTTAAAAAAAAAAAACTCAAACTCAGCTTCACTTAGCCATGCCAGAGAGCCAGCTCAGTTTGAAGAGGGAGGGTGTGGCAGACTCCTCTTCCTGATTGGCCAGCTGTCTGAAGAGGTTTCCTGGTCGGAAGCTTTCCTCTGCAGACGGGGCAGTGGTGGGCGTGGCCTGGGGGAGAGAACATAGGGGTGGAGCATCAGGATTTGTTGAGCAGAGCATGGTCTGTTTCTGCATGCGTCACCTGACGTGATTTTTTACATCATTTCACGCCACGTAATGTCTGGGGAGCGGAGTAAGCCGTGATTGTGTGATACTCAGAGTGGCCACTAGGGGGATACATGTGTTGAACCAACAGCGCAAAGTTACACAACACGCACTTAAAATTACATGGCACAGAAGTGGAAAAGCAGGCTTCAGTTGCTTTGCGAGGGAAGCTCCCCTGTTTCAGCAGAATACAAAATCCATGCAGCATCTTGTGTAGGAAGCAGCCAAGCTCAGACACGGAGCGCCTTGAACGCCACAGCGCCAGCATCGTGGCCGGCCAAAAGGGGAATCCCCAAAGGGGCACACCGCAAACCCACACGGTCACCCGTCACCATGACGTCCGAGGGCGGGGCCTTGTTCCCACGGGGACACTGCTCTCAGAGCAGCTGGAGGCGGAGAGACCAGCGGACATCTCAGTGCCGCAGCAAGTCACATTCTACGCTCATCCAGGCAGCCGGAATTTAACAAGGCGCATCCGGTCCGGAGCACAAAAACTGCCAGAAACATTAAACTGCTCTGTGTAAGTTTTGTACAAAAAAAAAATCACAAGCTGATGGGTATTACAGTAAAGCCCCCCCTGGGAGTAGAATCTGAAATCTTTAGGGTCATTCCATTAACTGTGCTGCCACCTGCTGGTCCATAAAAGAAGTGACGCTTCTGGACTTAAACTTAAATCCAGAAGCCTTAAGTTGGTGTGTGTGTGCCCCCCCCCCCATACTGACCAGGGGCCGGGTGACATCTGCTCCCCGGGTGATGGACTTGGCTTTTCGTGACGTCGTCATACTCAGAGGCAGCAGACCAAACCTGGGGGCAGAGACAGAGACCAATGAGGATGGGGGGGGTCATCTGTGCTGCTGGGAGGATCCCTGAGCACAGAACCGCATACGGAACCATGGCCCACTGAAGAAAAACAGACAGAACGGGCTCAGAGTGTAAATCCAAACAAAGCAGCTGCAGATCTGTGATCGACCCGTCATGCCTGTTCACCGTGCGTGATAGACCCGTCATGCCTGTTCACCGTGCGTGATCGACCCCTCATGCCTGTTCACCGTGCGTGATAGACCCCTCATGCCTGTTCACCGTGCGTGATAGACACCTCATGCCTGTTCACCGTGCGTGATCGACACCTCATGCCTGTTCACCGTGCGTGATCGACACCTCATGCCTGTTCACCGTGCGTGATCGACACCTCATGCCTGTTCACCGTGCGTGTGGGGTTTCCCTACCGAAACTGGCTGCTCGCCAGGGGCAGGATGTTGGACGGCTCCTGGGCACCGCTGCTCCCAGTCCGGGGGGTGAATGGCCGCTCTGGTCCAGAAAGCAAACCCAGCAGAACCTGCGCGGAACGAAACGAATCACAGGGGAACAGGGACACGGGGCAGGAGCAAAGGGCCCTGATTTGCTTTATAATTATTTTAGTCTATAACTCCAAAAAAATCCAACATTAAGACAGGCATACGGATAAACGCACCGAGGACCTCTGAACTAGCCAGGCCAGGTTGCTGTTCAGGGGCACCGTGAACACGTCGAGGTCAAAGGGGTCGATGAAGCTCTCCAGGGAGTCACACACATCCTGGATCCTGCGGGTCGAGAGGGGCTGAGCAAACGAGGAACAGCAGGAGGCAGCAGTGACCCAGCTGGGGGGGGGCAGCTACCTGGGGTCCTGCGTCGGGCGCGCCACCTTGCCGTCGTCCGGCCGGGTACCGAGGGTGGCGCTGAGGTGCCGCAGGTCGAAGAGCAGCTGCAGGGCCCGGTTCTGTGTCACGGAGGAGGCAGAGTCCTGGTGGAGGGGGATGTGAGAAGCCAGGGTGAGGGGTCAGAGCTCAGAGGTGAAAGGTCAGAGTGCACGGGCAGACAGACACACCTTGTTCTGGGCCTCCTTGACGAGTTTCTCGTACTCGCTGAGCACCTGATCCAAGCAGCCGCGCTGCAACTCCTGCAAGGTGACCGGCGGCAGAGCGTGGCCGCCCACCCGGTTTACCTCCAGGCACAGGTGGAAGAGCAGGGACTGGACGTGCCAGGAGGGCTGCGGGGGGAACAGGACAGACGGCTCATGCAAACTCACACACCCCGAGCCGCGGCGTCAGAGGTCACCCGGCGGGTCGCCGCGCCGTCAGAGGTCACCCGGCAGGTCGCCACGGTAACGGCACCCCCCCAGTCCTCACCTGGACAGGCAGCCGGATCTTGGAGGTGACGCTGCTCCCGGACTCGGCCTCCTCCTGGATCTCCAGCTCCTCCCAGGTCGTGCTGCTCTCCAGGATGGAGCCGGGAGACTCGGCGTGCAGCTGGGAGGCGAATCGCTGCACCAGCACCTGTGGGACAAGTGGGGAGAGCACTTACACCTACACTGGTACCAGCATCTTAAGCTAGGCTGAAATTTCAATGCAGCTTCTTAATTAGGTAAATCAGCAGTGGAAAGGCGCTATATAAATGTAGAGCAAACCTTGGAGAGGGCGGAGCTCCAGACCCGGTAGGCTTCCATACTACAGGACAGGAGCTCCTCCTTCAGGCCGGCCCACGCCGTCTGGGCGGGACTCACGTCTGCCACCTTGGAGCCGGCCTTGCCCAGCTTCTTGCCCTGCCGGGGGGGGGCCCTGCCTGCAGAGCTCCCCCCGCCGCCTGCGGCTCCCTCATTTCCCAGAATGCACCTCTGCAGATTAGGGCAGAGTTCGGCCATGGACTGGCCCAGCCTGGCCATGAAGAGGACGGGCGGGGCGGCCGGCAGCCCACCGCGCCCCCGCGTGCTGTCCAGTTCGGAGCGGATCAGCGCCAGAACCTCACGCATGCAGTGCAGGCAGCGAAGCCTCAGGGTCTCCTCGACCACCCCAGCGTCAGCGAAGCGTCCCAGCCCAGCCGAGGGGGGCGGGGCCCCGTCGGACTCCAAGGGGAGGTAGTGCTGCAGGTCGTCCAGCTGGACCCGCAGGCGAGCATCCAGGCTGGCACAGAAGGCCTGAACGCGGGGGGTCACGGCGCGCGTCTTCATGGCCAGTCCGCCAGGGTGCCCCGGGGCCGGCGCCCCCCGCACAGAGGCGCTTACCCACGCTGCGTCGTTCGGCAGGTCGCCCGGCGACTCTGACCACAGGAAGGAGGCGACGTCGCCCTCGAACAGCGCCACCCTGCTGGAATCTCCAGGAACTGCACCCATCCCCAGCTCCTGCAGTGACGTAGACAGGAGCTGCCTACAGCTGGCGGAGATCCCATCCAAGGCCTCCTGCGTGAGTGCCTGAGCAGACAGGTTTGGGGGGAGGCGGGGGGGGGCACAGTAGTAATTTAGCTTCACCGCTTCAGGGTTAAACTTAGCTGTTACGCTAACGGCTAAACTAAGCCGTCAGGCTGGTCACACAGAAACTGTTACATAGAATAGAACAGAATAGAACAAAATACAATAGTATAGAATAGTGCAGAACACAAGTAAGCAAACCCTCACTGGAACACTGTGTTTTCAAACCCTCACTGGAACACTGTGTTTTCAAACCCTCACTGGAACACTGTTTTCAAACCCTCACTGGAACACTGTGTTTTCGCCCGTCCCATCTTTCTCTGGTGGCCCAGTAGTTAGGGATGCGCACTTGTAATCGAGAGATCGCTGCCCTGCTCCCACCTGGAGTCTCTGGAGGAAGAGCTGCTGCAGGAAGTCCTCCCAGAAGGCTAGGGGGCGCCCCAGCAGCCTCTGACAGACGGCGGCCCAGTTCTGGCTGACGGAGTCGCTGGCCAGCAGGTCCCAGACGGCGTCGCGGATGGACGCCAGCGCCTTCAGGCTCTTCACGTAGACCAGCAGGCTGCCAACGGCCTGGCGGATGTCCTCCTTACACCTGCCGCACCAAACGCCTCCTTACCGTTCGGCACAACCGCTTCCGTCTTGTTAACAGTCCCGTTTAAAGTAACAGCTTGCGTGGCACTCACGTGTCGATCCACTGCTGTAGCGAATCGCGGAGCTGTTCCCTTTGGATCGGCTGGGCCAGTGAGCGCAGGGCAGGCTGGAACTCCGTAACAGAGGGTGGAAGATACCGGAACCAACCCCCCGGGGCCATGTCCTCCTGCAGTACCCTGTTCCTACCACCTGGGAGCACAGAACACAAACGTCATTACGAACGCCACTCAGGTCTGCCTAGGTTACATGAACTGGTCAGCAGCTGTCACACCACAGTCGGCTGCGGGTCCTACCTGCCGGCTTGGAGGAGGTGGCGCCCTCTAGGGTGGAAAACAGCAGGCCGCAGCTCAGACACGGATCCTGTGGCGACCCCTCGGGCGGCAGGTAGAAGACGGCGTACGCCTGGTACAGCGTGGTGACCAGGAGCTCCACCAGAGAGCACACCTGGGTCTTAATGCCCGCCCCTGCAGGGAAAACACAGGACCCAGTTTGACAGAGCGCTGGCTACAGAGAGCCATATTAAACTCTCACTGATGTGGACCCAGTTTTGGGGGGGCTAGTGCCCCAGTGACAGCTTGTTGCCCCCCCATGGCCCCCCTAAATATATATGCTACTTGGGTCTGAAATAATTGCAATATTCTATCATTATTATTTACATTTATTTATGTGGGCTAAAATGTGTGTGGGAAACAGCTGACACACATTCTCGTAACAAACTCATAAGACTGCACTGATGTTTCTCTTCAAAATACTATTTTAAAGAAGCAGAAACCAGCAGGACTGGGATCATTAACAAGTATGTTTTCTAAACAGCCTCCCCCAGCAGGGTGTGGGTGGGTACCGTGCTGCGGCTGGTTCAGAAGCTGCTGTATGGACGCCTTCCTGGCCAGGAGGAAATCAGCCAGCACCTGCCTCGGCGAGCTGCCCTCCAGCAGCATGGTGGACGCCAGCGCGTCGGCGATCGCCTGGTCAGACACGGCCCGGCCACGCAGCAGGGATTTACTCTCCAGCAAGATGGTAGACCTGGTTGGGGCAATCAGTAATATTACGGTGCCGAGAAATGTGAAAAAAGAAAACGCCATAAAAAAGTATATTTTAGAAATCATTAACCTGAAGTGGCCGGCAGCAGCGACCTGGCGCACGAGGATGGGGAAGCGGGCGAGCACGGGACTGTAATGTGGCCCTCCGGCCTCCAGGTGGAGATGCCCGTGCAGGTGGCAGCAGAGCAGGTAGAGCTGCGTGGCCCGCAGGTACTGCGACGACTCCATGGAGCTCCAGATGTGCTCTGGGATTTCCAGCAGCAGCTTGATCTGCGCCGCCATGCAGAAGAACTTCTCCTGTGACTGCCGCTGGGTCATCTGGCCAAATAGTACGAGACACGGAGAGGTCCACCCAGGAACCCGGACTCACATTATTACCGAATGTAAATGCGCGTGCAATAACAAAAAACACTCTAACACTGCACCGAAACATTAATTTGCTATAGAAACCTGCTTGTCCGGTTAGGGAAATTACTCACAAAAGTAATCCATCACAGCAAGGGCAATAAATGTGTGTGTATTGCCTTAAGTCATGAATAGCTTTTTATATCGCATACGTTTTCCATAGCCCCCACCCTAGTAAACACTCAGCCCCCCTATCTATTCATCTCCAACTACGACCCTGCATTACAGGCAGTTCAGGTGCGGAAAGTAAAAATCCAGACCAAGATTTTGTTTCAAACAGCCAGTTGAGTACTCTGTGACTGTGACTTTATACTCAACTGGTTGGTTGAAACAAAACCTTGGTGCGAACTTCTATTTTCTGCACCCGAACTGTCTGTAATGGGTTACTTTTGTGAGTAACTTTCCCAACACTGTGCGCAGATGACAGCCGGCTTGACGCTAAGGACATGCCCACCTCCGGCTTGCTGTCGGCCGCAGCGTGGCTCTTCCCCTGCTTGAGCTTACTGCAGTAGCGGTACATGTCCTGGATGGACAGGACCACGCTCTCCGAGCACTGGCGCATCTCGCCGATGGTGTCCGCGGCGTCGATCAGGTCCCGGTACCGCTCGCCCACCATCTGCCGCAGCTCTTCTTTCTTCTGCTCGATCTCCCCACGGACTTTGCGCTCTATGGCTCGGATCTCCTCCGTGTTGTAGCGCTCGAACAAGGCGGCCGGGTCCCGGATTTCAGACACCCGGAGGGACTGCGCTGCTGGTACCACCGCCATCACACCGATACCGACGAGCCCTGTCAGCCAGCAAGACGGCGCAGGGAATCCGGAAGTGACGACGGCGCCCGGCCACGTAACAGAGTGCGAAAGTCACAGGTTGGTTGGAGCAAAGAAAAGGAAACCGCGGCGAACAGCGCCGCCTACAGGCACGCCACCGAAAGTACAATATGATGTGCGCTCTTTCTACTATAAGATAATAAAGTGCGCCGATATAACATACCGAAAATATAAGCCTCATAATATAGCTAACGACAGAAGCGAAATCTATACATATTCAGTTAAAACAATAACATACCCATCGAATTATTACTGCTAAACTTTGACAACATCTTTTTTCCAGGTGTTCGTACATTTTTTTAGATGTCATGCGAACATACTGAACTAAGACAAACCTAGTTTCGTTACAGCTAATTATAATACAGTGCCGCAACGAATAATAATAGTCCCGGAGACAGACTCAAAGGAATAATTAATTCAATTAGATTTAAATAATTGTCTCAGTGTACAAGCTGTCCTTGAAAGACCGAAAACAAAAATAAAAGTTAATTGCCGTTGATGTAAATAACCCGTGCTTGCAGGGGTAAGCTGTCCAGCAAAAAATACATAAAACGATGTCATGTGATGCCCAATGTACCTTAACGAGGGTGCAGTTTATGCTGGCATTTTTGGAGCCGTGTTTTCGTTATGTCCCCGTTCGGCGCCACATGAAATTACTTCCATTATACAGAAACCTTTGGGCAATGCTACAGCTGCGCCTTTAAATACGGCTTTATTTCGATTTTGACCATAAAAACGCCGGAATCTCAGACACACAATTCATCCATTTATTTTTTACAAACCGATAACTGAAATAATAATCCCATTCTTGTGGAGAGAGAAAACAGCTCCAGTCGACAGAAAGCCCTGCAGGGCTGAACGCCGCAGCAATTTGCGGGATGATGCGAGGACGAAGCCGGCGACCCAGGGTTTTATGGGCGATAGTCGCTCAGACGGGTAATTGGGTGTTCCCACATTACTACATTACTACTTTGTGGCTTCCGGGCGCGGCACCAACCTGGGCTTCGCGTCCATCTAGGTGGGGGGGTGGTCTTTGCTGACGTTTTACAAAATACTCCCGCAATGTCATTGTCATTATTGTGCGAATGCACGGAGCTGGGATTGAGCCTGGACAGGAAGTCTTGTAGATGGACAGCATAGAGGGATTGGATAAGCCCCCCCCCGCCACACACACACACACACACACACACACACACTAAATATACAAGCTACCTACATGCACTTTTAATTAAATCAACTGAGGCTGGTCCTCTGAAGATAAAGTGGAGAGGATGGTACGTTGGAAAATGAATGAATTAGAATTTAGCAAATATAGCACCATGAAAAGGAAAAGCATGCCGTGACTGTATTTTTATTTCTTGGCTTGTGTACCGTGCCTCTCTGTATATGCATGATTGCGTGGCTGCCGGCACGTATTTGATTGGCCGCGGATCCTGTCAATCAAACGACGGCCCGCCCCCATCTCCTTCCACCGCGAGGATCAGAGCTGGCACCGGTGGCCACATGCCGGCCGGATCTGGCCCGTGGCTTTGCGCGTGCCGTCTGTTACAGTGCGCCTTGCAGGGCACAGAGCGGGACCCTTGAGCCCAGTCACCCAGCATCCCATCGCAGAGTCCGTCCCCATCATTTTATGGGTTATTTCAGAGCTAGAGAGGAACCATCAGTCCGTACATGCGCAGGGACTGGGCAGCGTTCGCTCCAGAGCGGATCATTCCAGAGCGGATCATTCCAGAAACAGATCTTGTGACCCCCACCAGCCGTGAACTGAGGCCCAGTCATTCCTGAACGGCAATGGCTGTCATCAGGTAGCCAGAAGTAGAACGGAAAATGGAGGGTATGTAATTAATTCCTGGGCCTTAATTCCTCCTCACATAGCTCTGTCCCCCTTCCCCGAGTCCATTCTCCCAGAGAACCCAGTATCCAAGAAGAGGATTCTCCCCTGCTGTCCTCCCTTCACCTGCTCCGAGAATCTCTCCTGTGGGCCCAAACTGGACAGGCCACCTTCTGGAAGGAGTCTGCTCTTCGTTATATCGCTCTCCCTGTAGGTACCCGGGCTCCACAATCCAGCTCTTTCACCAACCTGTGGCAGTGAGACTCACATCTATATGAGATGCCCCGAGTGGCCTGCAGGGGGCGTTAAGATGCCGACACAGATGTGAAACGCAGGTGACGAGGACTGGTGAGTTTGGGCCTGGTGTGACTCGTATGAGGTGCACTTGGTGATACCCACGGACAGCCGACTGATATGTTAGGGAGGGGGGTGGCCGGGGTACACACTTTCAAGTGATGTAGTTTGGCATTTTTCTGCACGTTTTATTGCCGCTGAATACTAGTGTGACAAAGTGAGAGGTGTCTCCATTTTCCCAGCCGGGCCCCACGGAAGGGAGCTGGAAATAGAATAGAAGCTTTTTTGTCACTGTATATTAAATGTACAACAAAACATGGAGTGCTGTTCCTGTTCAGTGCAAGAAAAGAACAAGAAAAAAATACAGAAAAAACAGTCATAGAAATAAATATTTGTGTGTATATGCATGTGTAAAATGGATGAGTAAAATAAAATAATTATTGTACTGATTTTTGTGGTCACTAAAGACTAATATTGCACACAGATTTACTGAGCTTCCAGAATCATCCAAGCTGCCAAGAAAGATGTAACACCGGTGAGAGCTGTGATGAGAAGGAACTTGCTGTTATACCCTTGAGTGAAGCATTCAACCAAAATTATTTAAGTAAAATATCAAGTTGGATTCATGGCTGCTGCTCTGGATTAAAGGGTTTAACTGAGAAAATAAAAACTGTAATTCTAATAAAGTGCGTGGGCGCCCGCTACTGGAAAAAATGTGCTAGTGCTTGTCCGGCCGTGACCAAGCGAGGGCGCGGGGGAGAAGTTATGAGGCGGGCCGTGGTGGCCGCAGAATCGGAGACAGGAAGGGCAAGTATTCGGATTCCGCAGAGGTTCCGCTGGCCGGACTTACGCAGAGATCTCTGAGGGCTGCATTTAATGCGGCAGCGCATTCCAGGCACACTGTCAGAGGCTTTGCAGATTCTGCAGACGGGGCAAACTCGGGACCCGCATACAATCAGCTCGGAGGTCACTGGCAGCTCCCCGGAACGTCCCGATGAGCACGTCACTGACCTCACAGCCCCTCCTGTCACACTCCGGCCATCTGAGGTCCTCGGAACGTTTTCAGAGGTGAAACATCATGGGTTTTGATCATCTAATAGCGGCTGAGAGCAGCCAAGGACATTTCAGGGGCCGCGGACCACAGAGGCGTGCCGGAGCATCATGGGAAATCAGGACGGAGGTTCGGTGTGGCACCAACCTCATCAGCAGCACTGTTGTGATTTACAGGAGAGCATGATCGACACATAATGAAGAGCCGGGGGCTTCACCGGGCCCCACCTATTTATAAACACCATTGTTTGTGTGAAATTCCAGTTTGGTCTCTCTGCAGGAGTGCAGAGAGCAGGACTCCTCATTTTAATGCTCAATTCCTTAACCATTAGGCCATCTGGTGGTCACGTGAAAATAATGTGAGCCAGGGGACGAGGGCACTCGAGTTCAGTCTGAAATGAAGTGTTGTCTTCTACACATCAACAGGAGGCAGAGAGGAACAGGTCTGAAGGTAGGAGAGATGAAGGAAGAGAGGAACAGATCATATAGACAGAGAGTTGGAGGGGGGGGGAACAGGCCACAAGCAAGGAGAGATGGAAGGAAAGAGGAATGGGTTTGATGGAGGAAGAGAAAGAAGGAGAGAGGAATAGGTCAAAAGGAGGGAAAGAGAGGGAGAGGAACAGTTCAGAGGGAGGGAGAGATGGAGGGAGAGAAGAACAGGTCATATAGACAGAGATGGAGGGAGAGAGGAACAGGTTTGAAGGAGGGAGAGATGGAGGAAACACAAGCAATGGTTCAGTTAACAGCAACAATGAAAACATGAGCCAGGAAGGGAGCCGGTGGCAGGTTCCAGGCGGTAAGGTGAGCAGACGCTGGTCAATACCAAAGACGTCTGTCTAAATGCAGCCGCTCCCTGGAGGACACCTGTGGGAGAGATTGCCCCTTTTCTCCATTTTCCCGCTAGTGTCACATGAGCATGACTATTAATAAGCCAAGCGAGGGGGGGGGGGCATGCTTTAAACCGTCATGTAAATCCTGGGCTGGACGCTGCTGTTGTACTGCCGTGCCCAGAATCCTGCACAACACCCCCACATAAATAGCTGAATAGCATCAGGTCTGTTTTCTGGGGTGTCCTGGACCCGTGGAACTGACAAGGCGTGAGCGTAGTGGTGTGCGCTCCGTCAGCGGCGCCGAGGAGGCTGTGACTTTGCCGTGTGACCCCTCCGAAGTGGCACGGGTCGACCTGTGGGGGGCGCGCCTGCCGTATCTCCTTCTCTCCCAGTTCCCGCGCATAGTGCCGGCCCCGCTCCCCGTGCCACCTGCTCGCTGGCGCTATCGCGCGTTTCCCCCCTCCCCCGGTGACGCGCTAAAAGGCGTCATCTGCCGGGGGAGGGGCGGGCAATGGGCCGCGGCTCTGCAAGGCAGTGAGCGGGCGGGCGGGTGCGGGCGAGAGAGCGAGCGCACGCGAGCGGCTGGGAGATTAGCGTTAGCCGCGAGGACGCCTGGCGTATCGATGGCAGCGGACGGCTGCCGATTGCTGAGAAAAATCTGTGCAAAGCGAGTGGCTCCGGTGCTGAATCTAAGAGGCACTAAAGGTCTGCAGTGGCACACAAGGGGCACCTGTCACCTGTCACCTGCACACACACTTCAGTTCTATAATGTTAGCATGCTGGGGGTCCAGTTGACCTTGGACCCCAGAGGTTTTTTATCCCCCTACTTTGGAGTTCTTGCTTACTCTTCTCCATTGCATCCTTTCTTTCCCTCCTCCCTTTTCCCTGCATTGCATAAATGATGTCATACCTGATCGCTACACACTCTTGTCAAAGTGCCTTGGGCTGAACCTGTTGTGAAAGGCGCTATATAAATTGAATTGGACTGAACTCCAGCTGAGGCTTAACGCGTGAAAGCCTTGTGTCCCTTGACTGTGTCCATCGTCTTAACCCTGTGCTGGACCGAATTCCAACACCACCAACCTGTTCGTCTGCCATTAAAGAGCCTAGAATCTATAAGAAAGTGAACAGATGTTTGCCTAACATGTGAAAGTGCCAAGATCTTAATAAAAACATGCACATTGTGTTTAGGATTAGAAATAATTATTAGACATCAATTCCCAATGGTCTTAATTCAGAGTAAAATCTGAATGACTTGTGTTCAGGTTGAATTGATTCCGCTTCATGGAACACCTTTAATGGTACAACAGAAGCTCCCAGCCAGGATTTAAACTTGAAGGCTCTGTTCCGTAATATTGCCTGTTGCCTCAGATGGGATGGTGACTGGGGAATTCCGGCAGGGAGGTAAGGTGACCAGCCACTGGTCAATAACGAGGAAGTTTCAATCAAAACCCCCAAACCATCCAGATATCAGATTCCAGATCTCCACCTTCAAGAAATGCCTCAAGACCCAGAAATATCTCCTCTAGCCTAATACCACTCTGTGTTTCCTGAATATTCTTAAGGTTGCACTTCTTGTCATTGAATAGCCATATTAAGTTCTTGCCTTGCTGGAAGATGTTGTGTAGCTCCTGTCCCAATCCTGCTTATACTCGTACCTGGGTGTTTACTGGAAGCTCAGCCTAGCTGCACTTATGTCCAGTCGACTCTCATGTGCTATTTACCTAAGTTATATTTCACTTTGGGCAAAACCGTCTGCTAAACAAAATAAATGTAAATACAGCCTCTTCCTGGGTTACGATGGGCTTATGTTCCAACAAACCTGTCGCAAGACGAAAATGCATTTTAACACAATACACATAACCTAACAACCATCATAGCCTAGCCTAGCTTAAAAATGCTTAGAACACTTACATTAGCCTACAGTTGGGCAAAATCATTTTAATATATAAAAAAGTGTGGAATATCTCAAGCAGTTTATTGAATAATCATACCTATTGTAAAGTCAAAATATCGTAACACGGACCAGCGTAACCCGGGAAGCGTCTATATAAGTGTAGCACGAGCAGAGTGATCAACAGGAGATCTGTAGGAAATGCCGAGTAAACAGCCCAGTTAAAGACTTCCCTGCGAAAGAATGGGATGTGCAGGGGATGTGAGAGATGGGATGTGCAGGGGATGTGAGAGTCGTGTTCACCGGAATGATTTTCAAGATGTGGATCATTTACTATCTTTGCAGCCAGCTGCGAGCTTTCTAGCTACACAAAGGTGTCATAACCCCCCCCCCGGAGAGGGGGCCTAAGCATGTTTTCACAGGCAGCATTATAGCATTATATACTTCTGAGCCTCCCCCCCCGAACAGATGATTATGGGCTGTTTTATAGTGCCATCTCTCTGGGGGTAGCGTAGTGATCCTGTTCATGTGATCATAGCGTAAAACAGGGTTCTGCAAAGGTGAATAAAGTCCACACTGCCACCCCCCCCCCCCAAGAAAAAGCTGTCCCACTGTACAGGAGACCCTTATTTCAGCTGCCGCACCTCAGGATCGCAGTGACAGAGCAGTAAAACTCCTATCGGCGAAACCCTGATTACGGCATCTTTCATTCGGCTGAGGTCGCAGAGTCTGTAGCCCGTCTGTTTGATTAGAAATATCTACGAGCGTCGCCGGGTGCCGCTTGCCGGGCACGGATCTCAAGGTCGCCGAGTCCGGCATTCCCTGTCCCAGCACTGCCTATCTGCCGTCATGACGACGGCAGACTCGGATGTGGGGTGGCCGGTTCCTCGGAGCCGCACTGCACTGTTGATGAATAGAGCAGGTTCGTTTTCCGGCAGGTTCTGGGCTGGTACAGCAGGGCTGGTGCCGGAGCCCAGGAGTTTGTCCCTCGACCCATGTTCACGTCAGTCAGCTGTTTAAATAACCGCACTGGCTCTGGTGGTTACTTGAAGCTAACCACTGACCACTAACCACTAACCACTGTCAAACCGCCAATGCACCCTAATTACCAGAAGAGAGTCTAAGCCAGTCTCAGTGGAGTCCTGAAGTCTTTCTGAGTTCTGTGTAGATGACAAAGACAGCAAAGAATACGAAGGCCATTGAAAGATTGACTCGTGCTGAAGGGGGACAGGTCGGGGTCTGCTGTGGGAGGGGGGGTGGGGGGCAATGCTATCGGGGAATGATTTGGACGGGATCACAACCGGGCTGAAGCAGAGGTAGCGAGAGACTGTCAAGGACAGAGGAAGGAAGAGAGAAACTTCTGTGAGGGAGGGAATGAGGGCGATAACGGAGCATTCGGAGAGGAAGAGAGAGAGAGAGAGAGAGAGAAGAGGGGTGGAGAGAAGGAGAAAGGAAAAGAGTGAGAGAGAGGGAGAGAGAGTGGGAGAGAGAGAGAGACACAGGGATAAATCCTTACAACATAATGATTAGGTCTCACAAGCCTCTCCCGTGACATGGTGTGGGGAAGATCCTGGATTACAAGCTGACCGAGCGAATCGGGGCAGAACGGACACAGGAGTAGGTGTGTGGGACGGGGGGCATACTGGACACCCCCAATTTAAAACAGGTCACAAGTCAGAGCAACAAGGTGCCGGCAGTTCTGCAAGGGTTCTTGGCCGTCATGTGAGCTCGGCACCACCAGACCCGGAACCCCACACCGCGCCGGGACTCATGGAGGTTGACGGAGAGTTGCAGCCCGGACCCCCGCGGGGGGGTCCTGTCCCGAAGACCTCCCGGATCTGAGAGTGGCCCATGGAATACTCCGGCCCCCTTCCTGCTCAGATCGGGACAGCGAGATAACGGGTCCGGAGAGTTCTGTAGCTTCGTGGGGGGGGGCGTTTCCCCCCCATACTCACCCCGGCGTGACTCCTTCTGCTCCAGAATGGGTGGGGTTACGGATTGAGCTTCTTGTCAGGCGTCTCTCGGAGCGGCGTGGATCGCACCCTGACAGGCGAGCACACTCGCGCTCACACCCGGGAATGCAGTGACGCTCTGCCACTCACTCCTTCATTCCGACATTCCCGCTCGGCGCGTCCCGGCTGCCTCCGCTTCTGCTCGCCGCTCTCTCCCTGGCGGAAAAGCCGCGCCGTGTGCGGCCGTGTGCCCGCGTGCGTGTGTGCCCTGGCACCCGTTCTCCTCCAGTCCTAAATCCATCTCTTCCTCCCTCCATCTCCACACCCGCACCCCCCCTGCCCATTCACTCCCACTAATGCCCCCCCCCACCCCTCCTCCCGGAGAGAGATAATGTGACCTTCTGCCAAAGTGCTGGAGCTCATGCCTTCATCGCCTGCCGCTCTCTGCCGATACTGAAATAGATTCAAACAAGTGCCAAGAGGAGAGAAGAGGACAGGATAGACAGAGTGTGGGTGGGGGGGAGAGGGACGAGGGAAAAAAAGGAAGGGAGACTGAAGCCACTACTGAGGAATGATCCATCCGGAGCAGGGGCTTGGAGAGGATCGCCGGTGCAGGTAAGCTGCCGCCTCACGTGGGATGTGCGGGCGCTGGGGGCCGCGGTGACCCCCCCTCGTTGTTGTGGCTCTGTGGGTTTGGGGGTAAGTGCGAGTGGGGGGTTAGGTAGGTACGGACCTGGTGGCCGGTGCTGTGCGGGGTGACACCCCCACAGCCTGTCTGACCCCCCCCAGTGGTTTCCAGGACTGCTTCTGTCACGTCAGGTTCAGTTCTGGAGCATTCGGCCGTGTTTTCTGCCTGGTGCTTGATGACGACGTATAAAGTGCCACCAGGGGTCATGTGACGGGTTAGAAACCGTCCTGAGCCACTGATGGCCGTCTGCCGTCTTCCGCTAGGAGCGGAGCGTCCTTAAACAACAGGCACGTCGTCCTCCACGCCGCTCCATGCTTCCTTAACGGGCAGGAGACCACTACCAAATCCACAACCCATCTGAGCGGTGCTGTGGGCCAATCCCAATTCCTGTGTGTGTGTGTGTGTGTGGAGGTGGGGGGGCATTTGGAAATAGTTTTCACTAAGGGCACTTATGTGACAGAGACGCACAATCGGAGACTTTGTCCACCTATAAAAAACAGACTTTATGACCTTCTCAAAGGTACAACAGAAGGACCCCTTGTGGGATTCAAATCAGATTATCTAATATGCTTATGTAATAGAGACACACAATCTGACACTTTATCCACATATAAAAAATACTTTTATGGCATTTTATGCTGGCTTGTGCCAAGGTACAACAGAAGGGCCCTTTCTGGGAGTCAAATATGATTATCTAATAAGCTTATCCAATACACATTTTGATACTTTAACCACACATAAAAAAGTCTTTTATGGCAGTTTTTACTGGTCGCTCAAAGGTACAACATAGAAACCCTTTTGGGATTCGAACAAACAAGTTTCTGGTCATCGTTCCATTAGCCGCTGAGATTGCGGCACGAGAGGTCAGCGGAGAACTGCGATCAGCCCCCTTTGGGGTTTCTGCGCCGTAACACACAATGTTTCTGTGCCGTGCTGAGACCTGCGCGACAGATGGAGTGCATGTTAGATTTGTTTCAGCCACTCGTCTGCAGAAACGCCACCTCAGCCTCATGCATTCCTAATTTCCCCAAGACCTTCTGAGATTCAGCACAAAGTAGGACATGTATTGGGATCATGCCTCTTATTATTTTTACTATGCGCTTCTATCACACTGGGCCACTGGACAGGAAGTTACAAGTGGCTGCGAATTTCATTTTTTCCATCGTGGTGTTTTTATTTCCCTGTTCTGATTCCCCTGCGACTGTCCGGACGCGACTTCCTTGACATCTTCACTGTAAAAGCGTGGTGTGGCTGATGAGACGATTTGATGGATTGCTGATGAAATGCATCCCGGTCTGCCCTGAGATATCGATCAGCGCCACGTCGCTTTCAGTTAAATACGACCGCGCTCTGGGTAAAAATCAGCCCCAAAAACAGTGAGCTGTGACGTGAAAGGAGAAAGGGGGATGGCGATGCCGGTCTGGAGGGAGCTAAGGACCATGACGTCCTGTCCCTGGGGGAGGGGGGGGGCTGTGCGGCAGGGGAACAGATGCGCTGGTCCGGGGTAGGCTGGCTCTTGGCCCTTCACTACGCACTGACCCACAGCCAAAGCATAGCAAACCCCTAGCACCGCAACGATGCCACAGCGTGACAGCAATGCAACAGCGTGACATCACAACACCGCATCGATGCTACAGTGTGACAGCAATGCAACAGCATGACATCACAGCACTGCATCGATGCTACAGTGTGACAGCAATGCAACAGCGTGACATCACAGCACTGCATCGATGCTACAGTGTGACAGCAATGCAACAGCGTGACATCACAGCACTATATTGATGCTACAGTGACAGAAACGCAACAGCATGACATCACAACACCGCCTCAATGCCACAGTGTAACAGCAATGCAACAACATGACAGCTATGCAACAATATAGCAATGAGACACTACATCATTTACTGTATACTTACATTTATTTAGCAAATACTTTTGTCCAAAATGATGTATAGATGAGACGGATAATACATCACAAGCATACAGCTGTCAGGGAGCCAAATCAGACAGAAGTGCTGCTAGGCTGAGTTTTAATTCAAGTTAAAATTACAGCAAGAGCTGTGCAACACATTTCAAGATATTGCAAGAAACTAACAGAAGGGCTATTTAAACCAAAGACAAAGACGAGCGCAAAAATATAAGAGCATCTAGGATACACAAGAGACTAGCTGAGGGTTAGCAGATAAAGACAGAGCAGGTCAGCGGTTGAATTAGCTAGTTGAAGTGCTCCATGAATAGATGGGTCTTGAGGCATTTCTTGAAGGTTGAGAGGGACTCTGCTGACTGCATGTGGATGGGTAGGAACAACACATAAAAAACCCCTAGAGTAAGACATTTTACTGCTGACCGAAGTGGCTGAGACGGGTCTTGATGGGTGATGTCGTCACAATGACACGGCATCACAACACTATGACATCACAACAGCGCAATGATGCAAAACTGCAGCAACACATCTCCACGACAATCTCTTCCCCGCACATGCTTTTCCCTGTTGTTAATTAAGAACGTTTATTTATGCTCTTTTATTTTAGGTACGACCTTTATCTTTAGTGTCAGACCTGAGCAGCAGGCAGAATAAGGAGGTCAGGATATCCAGCAGGTGGCAGCACTGAGGGCATAATGGGGAGAACCAGCAGCCGCACAGAGGGTCTCTTAACAGATGCCGACTTAATCCCCGAGTCATAAAGATATCCGAGGCACTCTACCGGGCACGCTCAGTTCAGGGTTCAGAGCAGCCGGCGGCAATACGTGTACCGGCATGGGAGCAAGCACAGGCATCATGTGTGTGTCACTTTCTGTCACGTGCACGTGTGCGTGGGCGCGTGCACTGCACGGTCGCTCAGACCCAGCCAGCATGCGTCACGCGCAGCATGGGAAGAGATCTGAAGGAAAGTGAGGCTGGCACTTGTGGGTTAGTGAGGAGCCGCCCGTCGGGGTTTAACGGCAGCGACGCGTCTGAAGCAGATGCGCAGGGAGTGGATATGGGCTGGAGAGAAGCTCAGAGCTGGAGTCTCACAATGGAGAGATCGGCTTATCAGTGGCTGCCAGGTCGGGTCTAGCGGGGGCCGGGTCTAGCGGGTGCCGGGTCTAGAGGGGCCGGTTCTAGTGGGGGCCGGTTCTAGCGGGGGCCGGTTCTAGCGGGGGCTTCTGCCCGCTTTACTGCCGTGAGCCTCCGTCAGCTGGAATAACCTTGAGGCCACGCAGGGGTAACGCACGTTCTGCTGCTCCAAACGCTTACGGACCGGCTCGGCGCCGTAAAGAAGGCATAAGGATGAACACAGTCTACATGTGTACCCACATAGACACATATCAATAGACAGGCGCTAACTGCCATGAGACGACCGTGAAGGAAATCTTCACTGACGCACGGCTCAGCGTGCTATTTGTCTGAGGAGTGTGTGCATCCCCTGTGTTCACATATGTGTTTGTGTGTCTGTATGTGTGTGTGTGTATGCATGCTCACTGATGTCCCCTACTGGCTGTACTGGAGTCCTGCGGCATTGCTCCACCCCATCTCCCCCCCAGAGATGTGAGCAGCCAGGGGCCGGCCCGACTTCACAACAGCCCACCTGGGCACATCACATCCCATTCGTCAGCGGCAAGGGGGAGGGGCTCGGCGCGCGCGGCTCTGTGATGGAACGTGAAGGACTGTCACGCATGTTTCCGCAGCGGCATACTAATGGAGAGGGAGTGCAGGGGCTGGGAGCTGGCA